TAGGATGAATTCTACAGAAAATCACAGGTAAAGAGATTGATTAGTCAGAAAAACATAACAAGACAATTATAACCAAAGATTAATTTCTTAACAGTTCTGAAGTACATTAATAACCTTTACAAGTTCTAATGACATCATACTTGGATGGAATAAACTAATTTAGTCACTAAAGGGCACCTGATTTGTGTATCATCATGAAACAGCCCTCCTCTCTATTTTGAGAGTTTGGCTTGGAAATAAAATTAGTATGTCTCTCTGGTCTTCAAAGCAGATTAATAGCTGCTTTAAGAAGAATGTACCACCTAATTAAAAATTAAAAAATAAATCAGGCCTGTGAAAAAAGTCACCTCTCCTTGTGTTTCATTCAAATCCGGTTAAACATTTCCCATGAATTTTCACATTGTTATTTGTTTCACAAGACTTATTTCTTATTCTTCTTGAACTGAATAAAGAGGACATTCACACTGGCAAAATCTTTATTTTTGTTTAGGAAAAGGTATTACTTAAAAATCTGCGTTTCAAAACTACACACTACAAAACTAACAACAGTAAAATGATTCACAACAACATTTGAATACTAAAGAAAAAATAGCAATTCTTCAACTTTTCTATGTTAAATTGAATCAGCTATTTCAGTGTATTGTGGGAATACATTTATCAGAATCAGTAGAGACCAAATGTTAATTATGAAGGCCAAGCACAAATGAATAATCTTACATATAGACCCTGACACATTAGAACTGCAAAGAACTCTGCAGATCTTACTTTATGAAAACGTACTAAGAGCGCAGATGTATAGGCCCTTAGGAAGCAATTATCCCTAAAAGATTTAGCTATAATTCAATCTGAAATATTATAAGAGATTTTTTTAAATGGTTTCGCAAAAAAGAGGATTATTTTACTTTAACTGTGGAAATAGGGGGCCACATGCTTCTCTGAATGACCTCTGTGCAGTTGTAGGCATTGCCTGGAGGGAGGAATTGAAGTTGGCCTTTTTGCTCTAATTAATACAACCCCCTATAACCAATGAGAATGTTATGAAAATTAGGAGTACCAGTTTGGCATTGTGGGACTGAATGGCCCACATGACTATAAGGAATGTTCTATACAATACATGCATTAAATATGGAAATTTCAAATCTCGTACTACTAATATGCATGACAGAGATTAGTCATGAAGAGCACTCTTGCCAAAGACGTGTAGATGCTGTACCGCACAGTAGGATGAAATGGCACAGTATAGGCCTATACAGCATGCCATATATATCATATGGTTTTTTGGTCACATGATCCTCACATGTGACCTAGCATCTAAAAGTGTAAAAATAAAAGTATGCAAGAGTGCTTTCTTTGTGATTTCCAGATCCTGGATCCGGCCAATTTACTGCCACCAGACCTTTGCCACAGTTACAATCTCTCTGTGTTGCTTTGCCTCACTCAGGAGTCTACAGGCTGCTACTGCCTCAGAGAAGGGCTACAGTAGCCCTGAGACCCAATATAACTAAAAATAAAGCTGAAAGCTTGAAGCTTGTCATTAGACCATACTATCAGTGGAATTAAATAGGTTTCCTGAGGATTGGGCTTAGGGCTTCATCACGAAGATGCTCAGAGGGCTGGAGCACCTCTGCTATGGGGACAGGCTGAGAGAGTTGGGCTTGTCCAGCCTGGAGAAGAGAAGGCTCCAGGGAGACCTTATTGCAGCCTTCCAGTACCTGAAGGGGCTACAAGGAAGCTGGGGGGGACTTTTTACAAGGGCCTGTAGTGACAGGACAAGGGGCAATGGGTTTAAATTGAAAGTGGGGAGGTTTAGATTAGATATCAGGAAGAAGTTCTTCACAGAGAGGGTGGTGAGGCACTGGAACAGGTTGCTCAGAGAAGCTGTGGATGCCCCATCCCTGGAAGTGTTCAAGACCAGGCTGGATGAAGCTTTGAGCAACCTGGTCTAGTGGAAGGTGTCCCTGCCCATGGCAGGGGGGTTGGAACTAGATGATCTTTAAGGTCCCTTCCAAGCCATTCTGTGATTCTAGGAATTTAAAAAGTGAGAAAGAAACAATACCCATTGGGTTTTGATATTAAGTCTATTATCAAAACCCCATAGAGGGTCTTATTGTTTATCACAAACCTTTATGCCATCCTTAACCTATCTGCTCCTGATAACTATATTTTTATCCAGTTAAGACTGCAAGTATCCTTGCACCAACACCTGATGTTTATACTTCCATTACTCCCTGAAGGAAATCTAAAGTAGATCATCCACCACCTACCACCAGAATACCACCTTTGCCAAACTGAATCAGGAAACATTAATTAAGTTTAAGAGATTAGGAAAAATTAAAGATTAAAAAACAAACAAACAAACAAACAAAACCCCCCAAAAAATTTTCTTAAGAGAAACTCTCTTGAATAGACTCAGAAGGGACACCTGGACTATTCTGCAGGAGAAGTGTTTACATGTGAATAATAGTACAAAGCGCAGATCCCAGTTTGCATGTGGAGGTGGTTAAAGTAAATGTAGTTCTCTGGATCATGGTGAAAATAAACAGTTGTGTTGATATTTAACCCTGCACCACAGAGACAAATAACCTGTCCTATTTCTCTGAAAATGGTCAGATGGCCAGAGGGCAACCCGCAGGAGAAAGAAGACAGGAGAGGATTCTTGGTCTGTACATGCACTCTGCATGTAGCATTTACAATTGCTACTGAGTGCATCCAAGAGGCAGGAGGCAGCAGCTAAGAACAAGAGGGTTTCACAGGCGAGGTGTGTGCCAAGACCCCACAGTGAGTTACCTGTCAGGACACTCCGGCAGGATATTTCTCTGGCAGGCAGCTGTGCCGCTGATGGCAGCGGGATTGCCCCAGTCAGCTCCAGCCAGGCCCAAAGCACTTGTCAAACCTATTTCTAAAGGAGTCACTGACACGACTTCCACCCCTACCAGCCAGTCCATATTCTCTAGGCTGTAGCTACACTAAAAAGGGATGATAAGCTTTTCATTTTCATAAGGTCTTAGGCTAGGATGTGTGTCCATATGCTGTATATCAAAGCTAACTACCACTGCCAATATTTCATAGGAGCATTTTAATGTTTTCAAGGTCAAGAATTCAACCTGACCCATCGGCTTTCATAAAAGTACTCCAATGGACCTGTCCTCACTGTAGGCAACAGTAATATGAACTGAAGGATAAGCTTTTCATTTTCATAAGGTCTTAGGCTAGGATGTGTGTCCATATGCTGTATATCAAAGCTAACTACCACTGCCAATATTTCATAGGAGCATTTTAATGTTTTCAAGGTCAAGAATTCAACCTGACCCATCGGCTTTCATAAAAGTACTCCAATGGACCTGTCCTCACTGTAGGCAACAGTAATATGAACTGATACAAACTCTGCAGAGGTACAATATTTTTAAAAGTTCAACTTTACCAAAAAATGAAAAGCATTCGCATTCATTTTTCCTCCCCAGACTCTCATCTCTAAAAGACTACAACCAATTAACCTCTAACTTTGAAAAATCAAAAAATGCCTGTGACAGCCAGAAATTAAATTCTTTAAAGATTAGGTGCTGGGAGAGCAATATCAGGCTTAGAATGAAATCCTAGTAACACTCTGAACTATTAAGTCACTTCTTGCTCTGAAAATATAATTATTCTGTAAGCATTATGTCAGGCAATATTAAATGTAAAAAGTGTAATTTCAATAAAACATTTCTGTTTTCTAACAGAAAGGCTCTGTGCATAATATTTTCAATGACACAGAAAAAACAATTCAGAATGTAATTAATGAAAAACAATACTATTTTCAGTAAGTAGCATGCCCATAAGCAGTAACTTTTAGTGACACCAGATTCAAAACAATACTATTATTGTGGTCAGAAACAGCCCTGTATCTTTAGGATCTCTATTCTAGTCGTCTAAGGACGGATTGCTTTCAGTATTGCACACTTGATTCTGTAATATTCACCACAGATTCTGATGGCAATTATAAACCCATGGAACACACAGGATTTGTGTGGTGCTCAGCCTGTCTCCATTTATTCATGATACTTCTTTTTTTATTGAGAAATGTCAAACTACACAAGGATTTACCTTAATTCCAATACTTCGCATCGGTCAAGTTGTTGCATGAATAATGATGTTTCCCGAATATAAAAAAAAAAAAAAAAGAAAAAAGAGCAGAGGAAAATCTGCCTATAAATGAGATACATTTGGCTATTCCTGTCTAAATCAAACACAGTTTTAATACAACAACTCTGTACCTTTAGAGTAACTTCTGTATTTATATTCCCTCCACTACCATAAGAGATTTTTATCCTAAAATTAGAGTGGTTGAATAGGTGCACACGATGCTTGCACGTCTTACCTGGCACAGTCTCTTATTCTGGCTAGCGGTGAGATTGCTGGTTATGTAGCTATCAATTCCACTGACGTTACAATTTCCCTTTCTCCAAGCAGCAATAACCTGTCACTTTACACTGTCCTTTCTCTGACCCTCTCCCGCCTCTCTGCTCATTTTTATTCTTATTGACAAGACTTATTATTCCTCCTCCCAATTCCAACTATCTACCCTTTTGCAAATAGTAGTATCAACTATGTGGTCACTAGTAGTATAGGTCAACAATGTTATTAATATAGCACACACTGCTGGGAGCAGATCAAACAGCCATACTTTAAAATATTAGTTTTGCAAAGATACCTTGAGGCAAATAGTTGCAGTTTTCTCCATGTTATAAAATGTAATATTGGGAGGACAGACCTAAAGAATTCAGGGTTAATTACCAGCCCAATAATTTGGAGGATATGTTATTTTTTCCTTGTTGTTTTCATACACAAAATAAAATAAAACCATAACAGAAGGGTGCTGTATCTGTGTTTAAAGAAGGGGTTGTTGGCAAACACCATAGCTCACTTCTGCCGAAATGTACACAACTGATATATGCAGCCCAGAAAGCTGGCACCAGGGGCTTACAACCTTAATTTGCCTGCAAGAAGAAATGGAGATTTACCTTCAGAGCACGTTCTTGATTGTTTTCAGCAGTCAGATGTCTCGTGTTGTTTGCTGAAGTCTGGTTCTGCTCTTTCAGATGATGAAGCTCCTGCTCCAGCCGTTTGCACTGCAACGAGGAAAGAATCCCATTAAGTAGAGGAGTGTGGGCATATTTTTTTCAACAAGCCAAATGAATTAACGTAAATAACCCCATCACCATTTCTGCAGTAGAAAAAGCATCAGACAAAAGCAAGTTACAATCCCAGGCCAGTTAAAAAACATAGAGCTATGTTTTTTTAAATGTGCATCATTATTCAGTTTCTTGCTGGTCCAATCGTATGCCAAAAAAAAGAGCTAAGTTTAGTATCAGATAAAGACATTTTGCAGAATGCTTTAAAAAGTCTTGAAAGTTACAAAGATGTTGGGTTGAATTCTGCTCCTAGTTATGCCAGTATGATGATGGATTTTGGCTTTCATGTATTAAGTGGATATAAAGGAAGCAGTATGTAGTTTTAGAAAAGCAAGCAAATTAGACTGTTCTTCCAAATCCAGGACCCAGCCTTTTATTAGAAAATATACATGTAATTTTTATGCCTGTATTTTTCCTGCTAAGAGATTACTCTAAATCCCAAACACACATCATATCTTGAAATAAGAGAAGTTTTAAGATTGTTTTGTTTAAATATTTAGCTTAATGACAAAGAATGAAAAATTCAACATTTGCTACTGCGTGCATACACAGTATGTATACTTACTGCTGTCAGCTGAACATCTATTTAAAAAACTAAAGATATTAAAACTGTGAGCTAAAATATATTTTACTGTTTTTTACAGTAACTGTAAGAGGTCTTTCCCAGTTACCTTGGTTTGAAAGTGAAATTAGTTGTCAGGAGACTGTTCATTGTGTTATGAAAAAGCAAGGGGTTAAAAAAAAAAAAAGGCAAACTAAAACAAAGTACCAGGAAGACGTAGGGAAACAACTATTAGAACTAGAGAAAAATGCAATATTATTAGGACCATTTTAGAATAGTATATTACAGGCAAGTAGTTTGGATATCACCACCAAAACCCAGTGGGTACTCTATTGGAACAAATGACAATTAATTGATAAAAAGTTTTTTAGAAATACTTTCTGAAAACACCAATAAGAAAAGAATGAGAGTCATGATATAATGCCCATGTAAGCATTGCTGTCTCAAATGAAGGACGGAGAAACATCAGTCTCTTGTGCTGTCTTAGTGACTATGGAAGATGCAGAATTGAGTTTTTCATCAAGTGTATACAACCTACTACTGAGCAATTTAGTATGTAGGACAATGAATCATGGCTCATGTCAACTCTAAAAAAAGAAAAATTGTGAAACAGAGGCATGTCGCACTGCAAAATTTACAACTGAGGTCTAAGCAAAATAAGGAGTACTACAGGATCTCGAGACAGAAATTTTAAAGAAATACCAATACATACACTTCTTAAACACAAAATAAGTCCTCAACAATGTAGTGCACAACAGGTATCCAGCACAGTATATAAACCAGAATGATTCAGTCCTATATTTGACTAACTGTAGGTGTCCAACCGTACTATTAGAAAAATTTCAATTCACATACTTGTTGTTGTATTTGATTACTTCTGTTATAAGGAGTAATTTCTAATTACTCCTTATTACGGCTCATTTCTAAGAGTAGTACTTATTTTAAAGGCAGCAAATCTCTCGTCTAGTTAATTTTCTCAGTGTCTGTTGTAAAGCTCCTTAATGCACAGTTTCATTTTTATTGCAAGAAAAATAAAAAATTACATCTTCTCATAAAATAGGGAAAAACAGAAGAAATGTTAAGATACATTTGGTTGCAAACATTTTTACAGACTTAAGACATTTAATGTCTATGTTTCTCTCACACACACACAAAAATCACAGATCACAGAATCACACCTGTAATTCTTCTTCCACGTGCAGCATGAAAATTATGTGTCTGCAGCATGAAGGTGCTAATACAACTATTGAAGAACTAAACCCAGATTATGCAGTTTTTTCTCTAGCATCTTTATTTCTCTACCATACGTTATCTAAATGCCACATAAAATAAAATCAATCTACTTCAGGCATTATCACGAATATCAGCAGGCCTCTCACTTCCCTCCTTTGCCAACACTCTTCAAAACAGGGCTTTGGAATTCTCAAGTTGACAACAGCCCAGGTTTCTTACAGTTAATATTGTTAAAAACACCAAAATCTCAATCAACCTTTAAAATATGAATTTATATTTATTTTCTTGAATTTATATTCTCCTGACTCCAAAAGAGAAGTGAAAATACACTAACAGCAAAACCTAACTACAGGATCACACGGAAAATGATCTTGATGTACAGGGCACATTGCAAACCAAGTGCATGGACACAATCTTACTCTGTCCTCCACTTCGCTCCTTCAAAGACGGTCAAATAAACAGCAAGCAGTAGGACTCGCTTCATGCAGCATACAGAGCACGTACAATAAAGATGCAATGCAAGTAACACAAGAAGAATGGACCACTCTATCAAGTCAACCTCAATACGATTACATTTACATTGAGCTTCGTAGCATTTTGTAATTCATTTTGAATTTCACTTCCACTAAGACTGTTGATATCAAGAAAACCTTGGGCATATTCAACCAGCATACTGCTTGAATCCATTTTGAGGATATCATTGAAAGAAATAGTGATCTAATTTGACCTTTGCGCATAAGCGTCTTAGTACATTGGAAACAACATATTAACAGAAGATGTTCTGAATTATCAGTCAAGGTGTATTTATTCCTAGCTGTCTAGGAAGCAGAGATTTATAATTATCCTGTTTGCAAAAGTATACAGTAATACTCTTCAGTGGCAACATTGTGTGTATGTCTTATTAAAACTTTCTATAACACTGATACCTGAACAACTTTTAAAACATTAAAATAACATTCTAAAAGCAACCATCCTTTTTCACAAGAACAACATATGAAATTTCTGAGTAACCTTCCTGTAAAGAAAAGTTTTAAAAATAGAATTTAAAACAATGCAGCCCCTTCTATTCATCTGAGCCAACATTTTTTGAATTCTGTGTCATTGGTTGTTAGCAAGGTCCAGTAAAAATAGATGTTCTTTAAAAGAACATGTGTTTTTATTGGTTCACTCCAAGCTCTAAAATGCCAACAGCTGCAAGTAAGAAACTGGATTTCCTTCTGAAAACATATATAAAAAAACTTTTTGGAGCACAGTGAAGAAAAGACATTGTACAATTCAGTACTGGCAAAAAGTAAAAGTAGGATGTATCCTTTTAAGAAAGCTGAAAGCTAAAGGAAGTGTTTCATTTTAAATATTATAAGTAAGAAAGTCTAAATCCTGTTATCCCAAACTTGTGAAAATTCATACTTGGAAAAAATTCAAACAGAATTCTCTTAAAGTCAGAGACAAAATATTTTGTGCAACACAGGCTGCCTAAACATTGGACCTGAGGTGTAATTGTGCACCTAAATGGTAGTTCCCATGAATTTAATACTTTATGAAAGACAGGCTGTTAATTGAGAAAACTGTTTCCTTACCTCTTGTACTATGAGTACATCAAGGAATATGAGAGCTGTGTAGATAGATGTCAGAGACCATGCCCTGATCAGAACGCTAAGGACTTTGCTAAATAAAGGATATTAAAGCCTCAGAAATGGTAACATGTCTTTTTATAAAGTTTCACACAATCTACCAGGAATTAGCTTCATGGCATGGTCTACCGTGCCCATTCAGAGTTCTGCAGCCAGAGGAAATACTGAAAATACAAAAAATAAATTAAAACAAAAAAGCTACAACCACCAAAAGGTTGTTCTTTCAAAATGCCATGTTTATTCCCCAGTCTGATTATATTTCCTTCAAAAAGCCTCCTACCTTAGCCTCACTGAGGTGATAATGTATTTGTCAGAGAGTGAACTTCCTTAAGCCTATTCCAAGGGTTGCTTGAGCAACCATCAGAGCTCAACCATACAGTTTTTGCTATGACATCAATCATTCCCAGCAACAGGCACTCTTTAACCACATTTCCACAGTGCAACCCACCTGCACTCTTCTAAATGCATCCAATCTTTCCAAACAAATACCTCTGTACCCAGCAGAGGATATATCACAAGCAGCCAAGACAAAATGTAAAACAAAGTAGTAAGATACCAAATGGATAAGAAGGGATTCAGACAGGAAAGAGGATAGACAATAAGTCCACCTGTTCTCTCCCATCTTCTGATTTAAACCATTAGGCTACTGGTGAGCCTTTTTAAACGAGCATCAACTAACATGATTCAGCAGAACGAGGATGTTTGTGAGAAGAACTGGTTTAACCTGCAGTGGGTGCTGACCTCTTTCAGTGAATATCCAGGTGGGAGAGGTGAGAATGTCACAGGGAAAATCCAGACAAACTGCAAAAAGGAGCACCTGCTAAAGGGGACATTGATGAAGATGTCAGGAAGTGGACCAGGAGAATATCACTGAGTAAAGTCCTTAAAGCTCACCCAGAAAGAGACGGTCAAAAGACAGCCCTAGTTCCTGGTACACAAAAGAAGTAAAGATGGTTTACAATAAACCGAGTATTTCAGAAGACAGAAAAAATCAATGCAGATAACCACTTAATAGTGTTTGGCCTTTACTAAAAAATGAGGTTGCATTAACATATCAAACATAACTTTAGCACTTGTATAAACAAATCTTCTTTAATATGCTGTCAGCTTTTCAGCATTTTCATCTTCAAGTTGCACCTATAACATGTTAACACAGTGTTATGGTGCCTGCCACGTCTACACAGATTGATGAGTTATTTTTTGATCATTACTTAACATGATTCTTCAGTGAGGCGTTCTGAAAGTAAAAGGTACAGACATTACACAGGAGAAAAGAAAAATCTGCAAGCCATTGGAGAAATAACAGTACTAGAGACAAAGATAGAATACAGCAAAGCTTTAACATCAAGCAGAGCTGCCCCCTGCCCCCAACCATTTGGTTCCCGTGCACTTTGTTTATATGAAGACAACACCTATCCCCAGAAGCCTCCTGCAGAAGTGTATTTAACTCTGCACTACCCAGGTCGATTAGGCTCTCCGCATATGCTTTCAGAGACATAAATATTTTGCCT